TCACCCCTCCAGGGAACCCATGTTTCCAGGTGGATTTAAACAAATTAAGAGATAAACAAGGAAACCTAGATAATTTTGGAAATATCTGTTCTCTCCCTCACCGTTCTTTTGTTCAGTATTCATCTGTCATTTCTGGCTTCTCTGCTCTCAGGGGCTGAAAGAAGTTGTCACTGCTCTCTGCATAGACAATTGTCTCAGCCTGAGCTCCAGGCTAATTTCTAGCTTCTATAAGGCCTTGTACCTTCAGCTCAGAAAGCCAACAGTCACTTCATAGTGAAGATTTACAAGAGACCATATATCTACATACACAGTCTGAACTTAGGTGAATACTTATCATTCTGCTTGTGTTTTATCATAGGGGGTATATATTTCACATACACTTTCACACATCAGGAAATATTTTTATTGACTGATTTGAGTGTGACGTTCTCTTTAACATAAAAACAACCCCCATACTTTTGTTTCTTTTGACTTCTTTTTTTTCTAATTCAAATACCAAATTGTTCTCGTGATTGCCCCAAGAGAGGGTATGTTCTTTAGGGGTGGGGATGGGAGGCAGAGATAAAGACCAAGAAAGCCAAACTTTTCAAGAAGGTGGGGGGGGGGGGGGGAAAAAAAAAAAACCCCGTCTGGGAATCTCAAGAACATCTTTATTTCGCCTTTTAACACCCCGCCTTTCTGATTAAAGAGTTCAGACCAGCTCCCCCGCCTCCGTTCAATTATCCCCCAGCATCTTTTCTCAGAAGCTGTCACCACCACTTGCTGAACCACAGCCCCATCGTGAGCCATTAGCCCGGTTCTGTTCCGTTTTGCTTTTCTTTCCTCAGTTTCTCCCTGCAAGCTTTATAAATCTCCCCTGGAGGAGGAGTGTCCAAGCGGGTGGAAGTCTGAGCACAATGCAACCTGAGAATTTCTGTCACTCTCTGCATATGCTCCTAAGTGCTTTAATCCCAATTAGGGGCGGCTGACACACGGTCCTATTCATTCCCATCAGCTCTTGAATACATTTGCCTAGAAATGAACTTCACAAATAGAGGCTCTCCTAAATGTGCCCAACAGCAAGGAAAATCGAATTGAGTGCGGGCTCATTCGGCAGCGGCCGGCAGAGGAGCGTTGAATGTGGAGGTGCCCCCAGACATTGCAATTCAGCAACACGCTCGCTGACTTTTCTTTGCACCATGTCAACCGAAAGAACCAAGAAATAAGTTGGGGGAACTCCGGTTAAAAGGCAACTTGAGAGGCACTCTGAATACTTTTATTGAGCCGCTTCCAATGAAGGACTTAAAAAACAACAAAAAAGGCACCACAAAACCCACCAGCAGCGTCCGGGCTGCGTCCTGGCCGCACGTTTGGAGCCTACCGGCCGCGGCGCACCCACCGGCCTCGCAATTAAGGGGAAAATGGCCCCGTCGCCTGCGTGTCATCTGGTGGCGTTCCCAGAGCCCGTCGCCGCCGCCCTATTCAGACCCGGCCTTAATGTCCCACCCGCGCCTCGGGGGCCGCGCAGCTGGTCCGCGCTGACCCGCCGTCCTGGCCGGGGCGGACACCCTCGGGGGGCGCGGCCCTGGTCACCTCAGGCCCCAACTCCGCCGAGTCTCGCTCCCTCCCCTGCGTCTTCGCCAGCGATCCCTGACCTCGCGCAGCTCCCTCCATCCTGGGGTTCGATACTCTGCCGGGGTTGGAGGGGGGTGGGGTTGGTGACTCCTCAAACACGCGGGTCCCCAAGACAGAGGGTCTCCGGATGCAGCCAACTCGGCCCGCCCCCCCCCCTCGTCCCCCGGGGACCGAAGCCCAAGGGCTCTGCGCCCCGGCGACCCGCAGCTCTGCAGAAGGATATTCCGGAAGGAGCCGTTCAACTCGGCACCTACGGCCCGCGGGGCCCATTTTTCTAGGCGGAGCCCAGCCGGGTCACACGTGCTCGGCGCCGGCAGCATTTCCAGCCCGGCACTCGCGCGCGGGGACCGCCCCCCTAACGCTGCCGGGTCTGGAGCGGCGCCGGGAGCGGAGCTACTAGCTCTCCGCAACCAGCAGCTCCGGCTGGCTCGCAGCACCCAGGCCTCGTTAGGGGCAACCTGTTACGGGGCGGGAGTGGTGCCCGTGCAGTTCCGCGGTGGGCAGCGAGCAGGGCCGCCCCCAAACCCGCCTCGCCCCGCACCTCGGTACAGGGGGGATTTCTCCTTAACGGGGCCCCTGGACGCCCATTTTAAGTCCATAAAAAAGCCGAGTGGAATGTTTTGATTGAGTCTCAACATTGTCTTTGAATAAGGCTGAGACCATGTAATTAATGTGTCTTTTTAATAAGGGACAATACGGCCGTTCAAGCTATTTAATTTCATTTAATTTTCCATCCCATTTGCTGCACAGCCCGCTTTTACTTTTAACACCCAGCCTTTCACGGCCCATCTTGCTCCACTGGGCACATTAGATTGGTTTCACCCTTGCTTTTTAGGGGAGAAAAAAATAAAAGAAAATGTGTTCCTTTCCTCCTTTGTGGACAATTTATTTCACTTGGGGAACTTCAACTCTGAGCCACAGGACAGAATAAAACTCGGCGAGCTGGTGTGAATGCCTCTGGCGCAGTCCCTTTCTTCTCGAGGGGCTGGGAACCAGCCACAATTGGCTATATTAATAAATAACTTTCCTCACAGTCGGCCTTTACATGGTCCTATTGATAAAATTGTTCGCGTGTCGTTCACGCTTTTTCACTCATTAAGGAGGGCCGGGGAGGAGCCCCGAACCCAGGCCCGGAGCTCGCCCCTTCCCGCTCATGGTGCTGGTAATTTAAACTGGGTGTCATCCCGGAGTCGCCAGGCCAGAGGTTAGAGGGACATGTTCATGGCTTAAATTTATTGCCCTCGACTTCGGAGCGGCTTCCTCTCCTCCTCCCCTCCCCCGGCTTTTGCCATTCATGGGCTGCCTGATCAAAGGCTCCCTCTCCCTCGCCGGCAGCCTTCGAAGCCCTAAGAGGGGCAATTGGAGGATTAAGAGGAAAGATCGGTGGCAGCTCCCTCAGAAAGTGGTTCTGGTCACGGCGTGGCTGCGCGGCCAGAGGGGCCGCAGCGTGCGGCCGCGAGGACCTACCAGGTGTCTGTCTCTGTTCTCCGCCTCAGCAGCCGCGCCTACACAGGCTTTGGAGTTAGCCCTGAGACCCGCCGTCCATGTGTCGCCGCACCGTTTGACTCGAGATGCTTAGACCTGAGACCCTTGACCGGGCCTGGATCCCCCGTTATGCTAACCTCGAGTTTTGGAGCGCCATTCGCTCTACCCACAGATCACTGCTGTTACTTTTCGTAACACACCCCAGTGAACTGCGGAGTGGAAGCTGAGTACATCATCATTCCCATGTTATGGATTAGAAGAATGAGGTTCTGAAGTGATTCACCGAAGTCTCCCTGAGTCTTGAATGCCAGAGCACAGACTGAAGGACCCCAAGTTTCCTGACAGTGTTCAGTACGGCCAACGCAGGTCTCCGTCGAGGGCTGCTACGGGGCTTTCTTGAGGGCCTGGTGGGACAAACCGCTGAGTTACAGGTGTCGCCACCTTGCGTCGGGCCGCCGTTGTTAACCACAGTCAGCTCTGCCAGGGACCTCGGAACCACACCTTCCGCGGGCAGAGGCGGGTGGAGAATTCGGTGTAGTGGCTGTTGGGAGTCCTCCGCTCGAGTGTACGGTGTTTGGGCTTCCAACACAGGCGGGAAAACCACCGCCTCTCGGCCTCTCCTGGAATACCGCGATGGCCCGCATCCTGGTCCATAGGATTTGGGGAGCGGCGCCCAGGATGGGCAGCGCGTGGCAGGCGCAGGCAGAATTGTCACAAACATCTGAGGAGCTCAATCACTCCGCTATGTTATGAAAAGAAGTGTCTCCGCACAAATCAGAGACTTCCTTAAAAAAAAAAAAAAGAAAAAGAAAAAGAAAAAAGACTGAGGAGCATTCTGGTACTCTGCTTTAACATTCCGGAGCACGCGCGTTCTCCTAGTTCACGAGTTGGGCTAAAGGCAGGTGTTGCTAATGCCCGCCTCATCCTCTTTCTCGCAACCTTTGATAGACTGCCTCTTTTTTTTTTTTTTTCTTTTTAAAGTTAGCCCCAAGGATTCCCTCCCGTTTTAAAATGTAAAAGCAAATCCGGGCTTGAGTCGGTCGGTTGGCATGTGAGGGGGACCTGATAAGAAAGACCCAGTCTTGAGCATCCCTCTTCAACCCTCTGGTGAGGACAAGGCACAGGATTGCCGGCAAAGCCAGGGCCCCGAGGCCGCTTCCCTTTCCCAGAGAAAGTGCGGGTCCGGGGTGCACCCGAGGACGGTGGTGTACAACTTCCTACGTCTACCAAAACTGGTCGGGACGCTTCATATTTCGGGGCGAAACTGGACAGAAGGAACGAAAAAGCGGTTCTAAATAGACGACTGGCCTGGACCCAATCCCCTGAAATGGTAATATGGTCGTTATTTAAAAAGTGTAGGTATTTTCTGGTGTTTTCCCATCAAGTACCTGCCTAATTTCTGTATGGCACACGCCAGAAATCAATAGAAGTTAACAAGTCCTCCAAACAGTCCCCATCTCTTTGTTTAATCTCCTTTACAATAAAGCCAAGGGGAGAGAATTAAAAATCTTTGAAGTAGACCAAGGCTCAAAGGAATCAGCCAAGTAGACTTAAAGTAGTCACTTATTTCCCAAAACTGGTTTGTCGGCGAACAATAAAAGGAAGTAAAATTTATGGAGAAATTATACAGTGGATTTGTCACTTAAAATATCGTAACTGTCTCGAGGACAATACCCCATGCTGAGGATTAATGGTCCCGCCGGACCTTTGATTCACCAGAGCCTTTTCTTCGCCCTTGACAAATTGGATTTTTAGGAATGGGAAGGTCGCCTGGACCATTGTGCGCCAGCCATTCAGAGGCCTCGATTATGCAGAGGGCTGAGGGAACTACTCCATGTGACCCTCTCGGGTGGGACTCTGCAGCTGCTGCGCAGAGCAACTCTCTCACCAAACTCCGCGCCCTTGCGCTCGCGGTGCCAAAAGGCGCCCGCCCTGATTGAAAAGGCGCAGTGCATGCCCGCCCGCGTCACTGCGCGGGCGGAGGACGCACGTCGGGGTGCGGCTCTCTGGCTCGAGCGCCGCTCGGGCTCTGTCACCCGAGCCCTGTGCTGCACCCAGCGCGCCCACGCGCCTGCCTGGCAGCAATGCACGGAACAGCCCGCGCTCCGGCCACCAGCGTGAGCGCCGACTGCTGCATCCCGGCCGGCCTGCGCCTGGGGCCCGTGCCTGGAACCTTCAAGCTGGGCAAGTACCTGTCAGACCGCAGGGAACCCGGGCCCAAGAAAAAGGTATTAGCCATTCCGACCTCCGCCTCCAGCCATTCGCCTCCCTTTGCTCTGGCCCTGGCAGGGGTAGATAGGGCAAGCGGAGGAAAGGGGCGATTGAGTCGTTACCTGCCAATGCTGCCAGGTGGCCCGGGGACTCCAGTAACTCCTCGCAAGTCGCATTAACTGAGAGCTGGACATGGGCCGAACTGTGGGGAAAGGACGTGGCTGAGAGGGGACAGCGCCGGGGCGGGGTGCATGGGGCTGTTTACGTGAGGGGACCACTCAGAATCCGCGGTTTCCCTGAAGCTCCCGAGTCTCGTTCGGAGAGGCGTGTGTGTGTGTTGAGGGGGGGAGCCGGGTCTCCCCGCAAATGCGCCCTTTCTCTGTTACACAGCGCGCAGGGCGTTGAAGACTTTTCTTACCTTCTTCCCTTCAACGCGCTAATTTAAGGCTTAAATTCGCCTTAAAATAATTTAATCTCATGTGCTCCGAAAAAAACAATCTTTGGGAAACTCTCAGTTCTTAGGATGCACCCCCATCCCCACCCCCGCGGATGTCTGCTGGGGGTTTGGGGTAGATGGAGAGCGAGTGATCCAGGTAGTGGCTCCGCCTGGGGCCCCGACTGAGGGCGAGGAGTGCCCACCCGCCTGGGACACCGGGTCCGCGCGTCTGCAGCCAGGCTTTGAGAGTCCAGGCTCGCAACTGGGAGGCGTCGGGGCCGACCCGCCAGTTCTAACTCTCCGAACTTCCTGTAGACCTCCGAGCAGAGTCGGGTTTTAAAGGCTCCCTTCCGCCCTGAGGCGTCCCAGCCGGCAAAGGTTCTCCAACAGCTACCGGGAAAAGAAGGCAGGAGTCCGGTGGGGGGTGGTGGGGGGGGGGCAGGACCTTAGCTTTGCCTAGTCGCTGCCTTGAGCTTTCTTGTAAGAAATTGCTCCCGCACAGGGCCAGCGGGACCCGCATGTGACTCCCTACGCGATCACCCTCTTCCCCGCGGTCTAAAGTCTTCTTTAGACGCGCTTTAATTGCTTTTAAATAGCCGGCCATGCTGCGGCCGGGTTGTTCGTTCACACACTTTCGCTGCCGGACTCCTAGGCACCTCCGCATCTTGGTGCTGTGTAGTGAGCCTGGGGAGGCACGAGAGGGAGGTGAAGGAAACTCTGGGTTCTGGGGCTGACGTCTCTTTTATATTAACGACCGCTCTCAGAACCGCAAGAATAGGAACTGAGCGGGGGCGGGGGTGCGGGACATCTTGGTACAAGATCACCCCCCAGCCTCTCACCGAGGATGCTTTCGCTCTTGGTGTTGCCAAGGTGGGACGAGAGAGGGGACTGTTATAGTAGCCAGTCTCCTGTCTTCCTCCCTTCCTTAAGCAAGGTTCCTAGGAATTACCTTCCTCCCAGCAGCCCACAGAGGTCTGGCCAAAGCGAACGCAACCATTTTTCAGAGTCGGGTGGGGTGTTGGATAAACTTTCCCCCTGGATTGTGGGCCTGGCCGTGGCGCGAGGAAGAACGACCACTGCTTGTGTTGCAGGTGCGCATGGTGAGAGGGGAGCTGGTGGACGAGTCGGGGGGCTCCCCTCTGGAATGGATAGGGTTAATCCGGGCAGCCAGGAACCCCCAGGAACAGACTCTCGAAGCTATTGCAGACTTACCCGGAGGACAGGTACTGTGGGCTTCCCCCACCACTGCCAATTCTACCTACCTAACCGTTACTGAGGTGGCCATCAATATTAAGAACAAAGCGCTTTAGCTGGAGGTCTCATTTAAACGTCTCAACAACCCTCTAAGGCATACACTATTATTTTCCCCGTTTGAAGAATGAGGGAAGTGAGGTTCAGAGAGGTCCAATAGTTTTTTCAGGGTCACACAGCGTCAGAGCGGGGACTTGAACCTTTCCTTTTAGTTGCTTTTAGACAGATTACCCAGGAAATGACAGCAAGCTGTCCCGTTCCTTGTGTCCCAGATCTTCTATCGAGCTCTTCGAGACGTCCAGCCAGGGGAGGAGCTGACCGTGTGGTATTCCAACTCCTTGGCTCAGTGGTTCGACATCCCCACAATTGCAACTCCGACGCACGACGAGAAAGGTACCGAGCCTGAGAGGGCCTCCAGGCCAGCGCGGGTGGGTGACAGTCCAGCCCTTCTCCATTCTTTGGATGCGACCCCAGGGCCTTTCTCTCGAGCTATGTAAAACTGAATTCATGCTCCCTGTCTGTGTGAGCAGAGAGACGACGTCACCACTACCACCTTACAATCAACAGTAAATGATAATAGCGACAATAATCTGTCTCGCGACGACACCGAAAAAATACTTTATGAACATAGGGGCTATCCTTTCCAATTGCATACCCAGAGACAATTATTTACTCAATTAAGAATCCATAAAGTAACCTTAACATATTATTAATCACATCATGAGCTCCAAAAAGCATAACTCAAACCTGGAACGTTTTTAGAAGGTGGAAGGTCTTCTCTTCACTGGTTTGAAGAACAGGATTTCCACGGGATTTTAGAAGCATTACGGTACTTACAGCTGGTCTGTTGGCAGGTACTGAAGCCCTTCCATTTAAATGGTATTTATTCATTTCCCCCTCCCTACCTAAATTGAATCTGGGTTGTATCCCAGTTTCTTCTTAGATTTATTTGATCCCTTCCAAAGCCAAGAGTGGATTTATGCAAATAAGGGGCAGTGACTAAAGAGAAGAACATTTTCAAACCTCCCCTAGAACACTGAAGAACACTGTCTGTGAAAAAAAAATCTGGGTGGTGCTACAAGAGTTCAGATCTTGAGACCTCCCTTTTAATTCACAAAGCTTCCATGACTTTCTTTTTTCCTTGTCAATTGTTAAGGTTTGTAATTTCTCCTAAAGACACAGTTATATTTAAAGTCAATATAATGAATGTTGTGAAATATTTTAACATGCTGTCCTCCCAAATTGCCTGCTCAAATCTCATCCGTCTAGAAATAGGGTTAAAGAAATTAATACAAATGTGAGAATTAAGAAACAATTCATGAATAAGACAGAATGAAGTTTATTTAGAATGATGAATCACTTCATTTCAAAGTATCACTGTCTTGTGGGTAGACTTGTGTGTACAGTATTCATAAAAGATTATCCTAAAGTAGCTTGTTCCTTATACTACATTATATTAAATTCTTTTGTCAACTTCTCCCACTAAAAGAGAAACATGATAAAAGATCTGTAGTGGAGAACTCTGTAATCTGCCACTACAGGACAATTCCAACAGCTGCTGACCTTTAGGGGCCAGACATTTCTACACAGAACACCCCTCCTTAGGCAGTCTCAAATCATACAAAAGCAACCTGTTTGAGTGGTGGCCCTCGTGTTTCATTTCAGCCAATTAAGCTTATGAACAGATGTCAGAATAAACACCATTTTCCTTTTGGGAATGCATGGGCTATTCTGAACCCTGACTTCCCCACCTTTGATATACTTGAAATCTTGGCAACCTCAGGGTTACACCAAGATGAGGAGGCAAAGTCACTCATGAAGTGTGTTTGACACTTTTGGCATGACTTGGATTTCAGAGTCCGGAGAACATGTCAGTTGGTTAGAAAATTGAAAAAGGAACATAATGAAACAGAGAATTTGCTTAACTCTTGAAAAGATGAAGAAATAAGTAGGGAAGGCTGCTATTCTTCCAACATTGAGTAACTCCAGTGGGTTTCAATTCCATAGTAATTTTAAGGAAAATATGGACCCTTTGTTTTAGGAAGGAAGCTTACTTGGCTTTTTGATTGACTAGAGTCATTCCAGGGCAGCCTTTGAAAATTCCTTCTTTAAAAAGGGGTAGAGGGGCGCCTGGGTGGCGCAGTCGGTTAAGCGTCCGACTTCAGCCAGGTCACGATCTCGCGGTCCGTGAGTTCGAGCCCCGCGTCAGGCTCTGGGCTGATGGCTCGGAGCCTGGAGCCTGTTTCTGATTCTGTGTCTCCCTCTCTCTCTGCCCCTCCCCCGTTCATGCTCTGTCTCTCTCTGTCCCAAAAATAAATAAACGTTGAAAAAAAAAATAAAAAAAAAAATAAAAAGGGGTAGAGAGGGAGGTTCTGAACTTAGGAGAAGGGAGGTTATTTAAGATGTTAAATCAGCATACCCAGCAAGAGAACCCAGGAAGTCTCTTCTTTTTTTTCCAGATTTATTTTACAGGGATGTTCAATACAAGTTAACAGAAATACTGAAATGATTTTATTTAGGTTTTCCATGAACAATTAGGGTAGGCTCTCAGAGGTAAATCCTCGCCCCCCACTCTGCTTTCTGCCCTACCTTGATGTCAGCTGGAATGAACTGATCCTTGCATCTTAGTTATCTAGAGGGACTACTTGCTTTATGCAAAGCTGAAAGTAAAACACATGAAGGGAAGAAGATATAGGACTTTTTTCAGTTGTTTTTGTAGTAATGCTTTAGAAGTTTGAGCTGCTTGTGTGCAAGGGGGAGGGAATTTAATTTTTCCATTGAATTTAATAAGACAAACTTTGGGTACTTCCTTGTGGCTCAAATAACTTCTTTCTCACAGACATTCTTCAGTATTATCAAGCAACCATAACACCAAAAAAAGAAACCCAACTGCAAGATTGCTGTTTTCTGTCCAGCTATAACAAGACCGTTTTAAAGTGAAAATTAACTTCCACCATGTGATCACAATCTGTTTCATACCTGTGTCCCTCGATTGTGTTCCCAGACCTTGGCCAAATTTAAAACAACTAATGTTAATAATATTAAACACAAGAAAAGGCTTGACAGCAAAAACATGTATATAGTTCCTCGTAGAGAATTGTATGTTTACTAAAAGCTGAGTATCTGTATCATATCCATCTATATATTCATTTCATAAAAACTAAACTATCTTTTCCAAGGACTTTATTATTATGCCTGGACTGGTGCAGCTTTCTAGGAGTTAATTAATTACCAGGTGGAACAACTGAGAACATAATACGACATCATCCTTCAATTTTTAGACTATAAGGACATAGGGCGTTTTCTTTTTTTCTCATCAAATTAAATGGGGTTAAAGAGGAAATAAAGATACAAATAATTTTGAAGAATAGCAGATTATAGTCCCTATGTGGTCCTTCAGTTGGTCACGCTCCAGGAAAACCTCAGGCAAAATGTTTAAGGCTGGGAGGCAGTGGGAAGGGTGGGTAATGGACATAAAAGGCATTGTTGTATGAAAAGGAATGATTACATATGGCCCATACATACAAGATATTGTCTCGCCTGGTAATGAGGCGCTCACGACCATTAGATTGGTCTTTGTTCAGTTTATCCAAACTCCTTGACATACGCCACCTATTCTGCAAACGCCAACAGATGGGCCCGGGCACAGCACAGCCTCAACACTTGATTTAAAGCAACAGCTGCTCTCTCTGCTCGTTTCTTCCCCCGGCTAGCCTGCCTGAGCGCTGCCCTCCCAAGGAAGATTTGCTCGGATGGCCCGGAGGAAGTCTTCGTTGGAAAGGCACAGGTCACCTCTTTGGCTTCTGAGTAATCCCAGAGGATGGAGATGGTGACAAAGTTGGCCATTTGGGGCTTCTCAGAGTCCTTGCTACAGTGGGGCCACCGAACTAACTCAATCTCTGGGCCCCAAGAACACTCTTGCTCATACCTCTGGTCATAAATCTGGGCTTTGCCTTGGGTGCGCTTTCTTTCTCTTTCGCTTGTTCGCCTCTCACGGGGTCGCTTTCCCACTCTTTCTCGCCCAGGGGAGGAGCGCTACATTTGCTGGTACTGCTGGAGGACGTTTAGATACCCCAACAGCCTTAAGGCCCACCTACGTTTCCACTGCGTGCTCAGCAGCGGCGGGGGCCGAACCTACCTGCACCACGAGCACGCTGCTCGCCAAAGCGTTGCCCCGGCCGCGGATGGCCTTCCCTTCTCTCCGAAACCCCCAGCGCCCGACTTTGCCGCGGCCGCCCCGGCTGGCACTCTGAGGCCCCACTCGCAGGCCCCGCCGCCTCTCCAGGCCTGCGGAGCGCGGGAGAGTATCAAGCGCGAGGCCTCCTCTGCGCCCTCGGCCACGTCGCCACCCGCGGCCAAGTGGGGGCAGTCCAAGAAGAGCAAGGAGCAGCCGGACCGCGCCCTAGACATGAGCGGGGCCTCCCGGGGACACGGCCACTTCCTCGGCATCGTAGGCGGCTCCCCAGCTGGGGGCGGTGGCCTGGCCTTCTACCCCGGAGTGCGCTCGGCTTTCAAGCCTGCGGGCTTGGCCAGGGCGGCCGCGGCCGCGCATGGCGACCCCTACCGGGAGGAGGGCGGCGGCAAGCCTGGGTCCGGCTTGGCCTTAGGCAGGTTGCTGGGCGGGGGCCGGGCGGGCGGACGCCCGGTAAGCGGGGAGAACCCCGCGGCGGGCGGCGCCGGCCACCACCATCACCACCATGCGCACCACCACCATCACCATTCCAAGTGCCTGCTCTCGGGGGACCCGCCGCCGCCGCCGCCTGGCCTACCCTGCTCGGGGGGCCTGCGCAGCTTCCCTCTGCTCCCCGGGGCCCCGGAAGAGGCGTCAGCCTTCAAGCATGTGGAACGCGCCCAGCCAGCGGCGCCTGCGCTGCCGGGAGCGCGTTTCGCCCAGTTGCCCTCTGCGACCGGGCTGCCCGTCGAGCGCTGCGCGCTGCCGGCCCTCGACGCGGGCGGGCTCAAAGCCTATCCGGGTGGCGAGTGCAGCCACCTACCTGCCGTCATGCCGGCTTTTACCGTCTACAACGGGGAGCTACTCTACGGCTCACCGGCCGCCGCCGCTTATTACCCGCTCAAACTGCACTTCGGCGGGCTGCTCAAGTATCCGGAGTCCATCTCCTACTTCAGCGGGCCTGCGGCGGCGGCAGCAGCAGCGGCAGCTGCCGCTCTAAGCCCTGCGGAGCTCGGCTCCCTGGCTAGCATCGACCGAGAGATCGCTATGCACACGCAGCAGCTGTCCGAGATGGCAGCCGGGAAAAGCCGAGGCCGCCTGGACGCGGGGACGCTGCCACCCGCCGTCGTGGCGGCGGGAGGCGCTGGGGGTGGCGGCAGCGTAGGTGGTGGCGCCGGCAAGTCCAAGACCGGCCACCTGTGTCTCTACTGCGGCAAGTTGTACTCGCGCAAGTACGGGCTCAAGATTCACATGCGGACGCACACCGGCTACAAGCCGCTCAAGTGCAAAGTGTGCCTGCGGCCCTTCGGCGACCCCAGCAATCTGAACAAGCACATCCGGCTGCACGCCGAGGGCAACACGCCCTACCGCTGCGAGTTCTGCGGCAAGGTGCTGGTGCGCCGCCGGGACCTGGAGCGCCACGTCAAGTCCCGCCACCCCGGCCAAAACCTGCTAGCCAAGGCGGGCGATGGCCCCGGCGCGGAGCCTGACTACCCGCCGGAGCCTGGGGAGCCCAAGAGCGACAACGACAGCGATGTGGACGTCTGCTTCACGGACGACCAGAGCGACCCTGAGGCTGGAGGCGGCGGCGAGCGCGACCCATGAGTCTTCTCCGGAAAGGGTGGATTTGGGAGGCGGGAACGGAGATAAGAAGTTGGGGAGGGGAGAGTGGTTCTCTTTTGGGAGAAGAGAGGAGCTCCTGGAGAGTGAACCGGTTGACAAAACCGTTTTTATTTTGGTTGGGCGCCAGATTTGGAACAGTGAGAGGTCCCAGGTCCTATAGTGAAATTCAGAGCTAAGGTTTAGAAGTGGCTCAAAGAAATCTGGCTTTTTGCGTAGCCGGAGCGAGTCGGGTCCCTGTGGACCCTTGGACTCCGCGGGTAGTCTCTCCCATGAACCACCCAGGAGGTCTGCTCTCAAGGTTTAGGATCGCATTAATGTGAACTTCACAGCGCCCTTGAGGGCGTCGATTTTAACTGCCATGTATTTTTAAATTGTTCTTTAATGTGGAGGAAATTGTGCCTTTTGAAACGATGTTTTGTGTGTGTGTGTGTGTGTTTACATTAGCATTTCACTAAATAGGCGAAACAGTAGTCAAAGTTCGGTAGACGTGACATCCATCCATCTATCCAAATATTTCCATTTCATCTGTTCTCGTGTCAAAGACTATGCCTTCCCGCATTGACTATATAGTGGTAGCAGGTGTGCAAATTGGTCAAGTTGCAATTATTTATAAAAGAGTAATGACAAATGTAAAATATCTAAAGCATGAATCTAAAAGCACGCAATATATAATTTTAAAGAAAATGTCTTATTTGGTAGAGTACAGATGTGATGTATGTTGTTTTACAATGAATGATGTACAGTGGATTCAGTATTTTGGTCTTGGTTCCAGTTTGTGCAATCTTTAATAAAAATAAAGATACACATGACAGTTTCTTCACTTAGCGATTTCAGCAGATCCTTTAAAGAAAGAGTTTAATTCGAAAACAATTTTCAAGAAGACTCCATAATAAAATGAATCACAGGACACTTGAAGACTTTGACTATTCATAAGGTAAATGTTAAGTAGTGTTGTAATAGGGAAATATACTGTTTCCAATATGTGTACTTCACATGCTCCCAGATAGCGGGCAAAGTAACTGTTTTCTGAAATCATGTTAATTATGCTAAGAGTTTTCATGTTTAGGAAAGAAGCTAATGAGTTTCAAGAAAAAATGCATATTCCTCATCAAAAAGAATTATCGAACTGTAGAATCACTGTTTCTTGCTATGTACCATTTTGACAGGGGTTTCCTTGGGAAGCAAACAAAGGAAAATTGCTCCGTGCTTTTTATGATTCATACACTTTAGTTTTCATTTAACAAATGCTAAAAGAGGATTGATATTATTGGAGGTGCTGATCTACTCGTCTGTGTAGTTTTCTTTTCTCCATGTACTCTTTCCAATAATCTCGTGCTGTTGATGTGTGTCCCATTTTACTGAAGAGAAAATATACACTTCAAGTTCACTGGGAGGCCCATAATGAGAAGTACAAAGTTAGAAGCAATGACTTCATTTATGGGTATAAAAAATTAATACTAGTGAATGGAAGACTATCGTAAAGAATATATTTCTGTGGGCTAAAATTGGAAAGCACCCTCTCCCCTTCCTATGCCACTCCCCAACCCCATACTCAGGGTAGCATTTCACTGAAGTTATGTAGACGTGGAGGATGAGCCATCTCCTCAACTAAGGGCAGGTACCCAAAGAGCCCAGGTCTCTAGTACTCTTCCCAGAGGTTGGTGGGAAGATTCTTGTAGGGCACCAAAAGATCTGGATATGATCCTGATGATTTTAACTCAGTTAAAAATGACCTTTATTTTCTGAATCCTGAGTACTGCAGCAGTTCCCACACATCTGTCTCCCAGTTGGGAACATGGCAGATGTCACTGGATGGCTGGCAGAGACTTTTTGTAATCCATCAGAGCAAGAGGCATGGGGGTGAGGTGGGGAGGACATCTGACTTTTATGGGGGCTGGATCAGCAAAAAGATTTTTTCTATGAGAAAACTTATCCTGGGGATTACAGGTTTTTGGTGTCTGCTAACCAGAAGATGTTTTGCTTTGTAAAAGAAAACCCAAAGAGAAATAAAAAATATGTGTGAAGTAGCATGCATATATGGTGACAATGATACTACCATTTATTGAGAGCCTATTCTCTGCCAAATCCTTATGCTACTGCTATTTTCACTTCTTTCCTCCCCCACAGAGGATGACCATGGGCTTGCCCCATGAGGTTCAGTGATGGTCCTGACAACAGAACTGGAAGCAAACCCACACAGCTGCCTATTCAGCTTGGGCTCTAGACATCCAGGGCTTCTCACTGCCTTCATAGTATCAGAGTCTTGCCCTTTGAAGCAATTATTGCTTGAAACAAAATCCACCCTTATAGAGAAATATTGGAAAACTTTCCTGAAAACAGACTGTGTTTGTCCTTAGGGAAAGTGAGAAAGGCTGCCCAGATTTAAAACAAAAAAAGTTTTATCAGGTGTAAAAGTTTTGTTTCCTTCTTTCATTTCCTAGCTCACTACTTAGTCCTATAACTCTTGTTTTCAAGAAATAAAAACAGTTTGGTCAAAGAAATACATTTTAAATTGATAAAAATTTAATACAACAGAAAACTCCCTAGCTTCCTTTTCCTCTTTGATATTGACTAGGTTATTCGAATAAATTCCAATATGAAAAATGAAAGTTTGAATATAGACTTAAAATGTCCTTAATAGCAGGTCATTTGTAATTCTCCATTGGTTGCCTCACATAACCTGTATATTTGTCCATGGATGTGCACACTATCATATATAATTAATGTGGTTATTCATTTTAGTTGTGAAGTCAAATCAGTGATGTACAATCAGTAACGTTACTACTAATTTAAGAAATTTTAAACATTTATTTATTTTTTGAGAGAGCATGAGTGGAGGAGGGGCAGAGAGGGAGAGAGAGACACACACGGTATCTGAAGCAGTCTCCAGGCTCTGTCTGAGCTGTCAGCACAGAGCCCAATGCGGGGCTTGAACTCAGGACCAGAGCATGACCTGAGCCGAAGTCCATGCTTAACTGAGCCACCCCTGCCGCCCCTAATACTACTTATTTAAATGGCTCAGTCGAGTTAGTGTTTCTCAGATGACTTCTTTCAGTTTCCTATCTCTTTGTCTCCATTCCCACCCCCAACCCTCCTTCCTTCTCATCCTGATGACCACAAGTAACTATGAAGGGTCTACTGCCTCGATTTCCTCATCTGTAAAACAAGTTGAATCATGCAATAGGGAGGTTGTGAGGATTGAATGGGTTAATGCAGGTAAACTGCTTAGCATAAAGCCTGATGCATAGCAAGCTCTCAAACAATAGTGAAATAACCCTACCAACTCCGTGGTTTTATTTTGAAGACACCAACGAACGAGGTAAGTGTTGACGCCCTTTTACAAGTGTTAGCGCTGTTCTCCCCTTGGTTCACTTCTAGCCCCCGACAAACATGCCCCAACTTCAGTAAGTAAAGGCCGTTCACACTTTTGCCAAAGAGAAACTTCCTCAGACCCCTTATCAAGTCATCCTTCTATTTTAAGCTCAGACATCGACTCGTTCAAATGGTTCATAGCGATTAAGTGAACGGGAAGAACGCTCTCGTGCTTTCACTAATTTTTGAAACGCTGGGCTGCGCGGTGAGTTTACGCAGAAGCATGCCGCGGAGGTGAGCGCATGAACATCTCCCCTCCTGAGTCGGGTAGAGAACGGGGCACACAGTAAAAGCTGCAGTTCCTCAAAATTCTGCTCTGGGGAAAATTCATTTACTGCCTGGACTCTGCGGATGAGGTGAGTAGCGGTGGGTCTCCAGGTTAGAACCGCATGCAGTTCGGGGGAACGCCAGGAGAGCTGGGGCTGGTGTTGGTGTTGGTGCCTGGGCCCCGGAGACGAGAGGGCGATGATTGGCTGCTCCGCTTTAGCCCGAGCGCTCCCATTGGCTCACCCCTTGGAGCCAGGGTTGCTATTGGTGGCGGGCTGGCCGCGCGCGAAGGTTTGGGCAGGAGCCGTCTCCCAGGATCCCGTGGCCCGCTGGCGGTGTTGTCTCCTGCGTGGGTGCTGCAGTGCCAGGTAGTGAGTGCGGCGCTCTTGTGACTCACGGCTTCTCTCTCCCTGGGAACAGAGGTTTTCGGGTTCTGAGTGGGGGCAGAGGTGTGGAGTCTCGCCGCTTTTAGGTGTAGTGTCCGGGAACCCTGGCTGGGGAAAGAGACGCGGGGACTCCTCCCGCCCCCGCCGCGGCGGACGGCAGGAGGCGGAGGGAGTTCCGGGCGCCTAACGAGTCATTTTTAAGTGCTGCTGCCCTGCTGTGGCGGGGAGTAGCGGCACCAGCGCTGCGGCGCCCTCGCCATCTGCTGCTTCCCCAAAGGGAAGGCGGCATAGGCGCTGGCGCCGTCGGGAGGTCAGACTTGACCCTTGGCCACCCAGGTGTGAGTTGTGAAGGGGAGGACTCAACAGACGGCGGGGCCAACGTGTTTAGTTCCAGAAGGAGCGTGGCGCTCGCTCTGGGCTGGGTGACCTTCCTACAAAAGATGAAAGGAGCGCTTCTGTCATCTGCGACTGTGGTTTAATTCAAATTAGGTGTAACCGGTTGTACGGCAGACAACTTGTTAATGCCTTTGGCTTGCGAACCGTCCCAGGGCCCTAAAAAAAGGGACCGACGTTGCGGCGGGGGGTGGGGGGGAGGGCTGTATGTACGCATGTAAGCCCTTTAAGGACACTGATTTTATTTCAAGGATAATATGCTTTAATTGTTTAAGTTTTAACATTTCATGTAAGTACATAAAAACTAAACCAGAACGTATTAAAACTATGGAAGTGAGAGCATAAAAGACAGATTTTTGTAATTACAATTAAACAGATTCAGGAACATTTTCATGTAGAGTAAGGAAACTTTATTAAAAATGAAATACGTTAGATATCCAAATGTGAGTATTCTCTGCCTTTTATTTTTCTCCCCCCTATTCACACACGCTTCTGCATAGTTTGGTATTGTGGGAAGTGGCTGCAAACACATACTTCCTATTCTTAATGTTGGCAGTATAGTAACGTTCCTGTAAGTTGAGACTGACTGAAAATTCAACGTTCCATGGCAAATTGTGTTTGAACGGGGAGACATTCAACTCCAGAGATTTGTGTAGAGAGCCTTAGGTGGAAATGTCTTATGCGACAGGAAATATACTGAAGAGAGATGCAATGCAATAGCAGATGGCTGTCCATAAGAACAGAGTGAAGGTCAAAGATAGTTTTTTTTTTTTTTTTTAATGCCTGACAACCGGCAGAAAGAGAAGATTCTATACTTGACACTGAGCAGTCGATTCCTGAATTATCACCTTAAGGTAAATGGAGACATGACCAGGTCAGGTTTAAGCTCACTTGAGCGCATTGGACCGTGGCAGAACACATGTGTGAGCAACAAAATGCTTTCAGGTATACCAAGAGTCAACCCAATGAGAAATGAGTCAGTGGAAGATGTCGCATTTTATAAGCTTATTTGTGATTTTCGGCAAGCTGGAGAAAGAAATGCCTTAGCAACCAAGAAGATGTAGAGAAAAGAAAATACATTAGGGGGTTTATAGGATAGGCTTTCCGAATTATTTAAAGCTAAATCACTGAAATGCGGTCTAGGTACTGTCTTTGCCATTTATAGGTGTTTGTACATATATTGTGCCCTTCATTTCTTTCCCAAATCAGTTTATGTGTTATTGTCTTGAATTAGTAGTTTGGGACTTCATGATATTCATAATGGCCAATATTCTCTTCATAAAGAGAGGGAAAAAATAGCTTTGCCTTAAAGTTTCCTGGATAGCACTCATTTCATTAAACCTTCGTTATCTCATGTGATCTTTGTAACAACCTATTTTACAGATAAGGGAAATAAGGTTTG